AACAACATCCACTGTGCATTTTCTTATAACACAGATTTGTTACTTCATGCAGACTGCCAGATGAAGTGGTGCAGTATTACACGTGATACAGTACAAGCCATGTCAGGGCCATTGACGAGAACGCAGTAAATCGGAAAATAGCTTACGGTGTAGAAAATAATGAGAGGTCTTTTGGGGAAATTGAATTTATTTTTTTCTCTTGAAAACCAGTTTTGACTTTGTCATTGTGGGCATCCTTGCAAGTTTTCTAGTTTAACACAATATGGGCTAAGTATATAATTAATTGTGTTCTGCCTATTGGTAAAGCCTTAACTACATCTCAGATCAGATGGCCATTTGGGTCATATTTAAAACAAAACCTTTTGGTAGAATCATGCTGGCGAGTCGCTGTACAGAAAGGGCTCTAAATTGATTGCTCAGCCTTTGTCCCTAAAGCTCAACTTTGAAGGTGTCAGTGATTTCCAAGTTTTAAAGCAATACTTCTATCACTGTTGCTAATTGGTTACAAGCAAAATCTCACCAAAATACAGAGAGACATAACCTCCCCGTTGGGCTGTTCTGGGTAAGGGAAATTGAGGATTCATCTTTTCTGAAGTGAATTATAGTTCCATATTAGCTGTCAATAAGAACTGCTGTACAAAGACATGCATAGTAGGTCAGCAGCAATCCTCACACTTGTTGATTTAATGTTTTGGGAATCTTTGCCCCAACTCTGTTAAAATATTGTATCTTAAGAATTTCAACAAGACTTTTTACCTTTCATGTAAGAATCTAATATGAAAGAATCAGATACCTTTTTTGCATATAGTCTGTTTTTGCTGGTAGCTGGAACATAAGCATTTAGTGTTCTTAGTATTATCTGTGGTGTGGCTTCTAATAGACCTTATTGTATTGCTGTGTTGTTGGGAAGGGGGATAATATATATATATATGTAGCCCTTTGCGGATATTCTTTTTTTCCCCCCTCTAACAGCGTACAGACATTAACTTAAACTTGCCCATGTGTTTATTCTTTATTTTATAAAACTCCAAAATTGGGTCAGATGCCTCGCTCACCATCCACAGGACCATCTTCTTTATTAGTGGAGACAAGAGCTCTGGGCAGCCAGCCACAGTCCAGGTGTAGCTGTAATAATGTGCTATACTGTAGAAAGCATGCCGATAAATCACTGCCAAGCTGGCACTGCAGCTGAGCACATCATTACACTGTGAAATGCAAGGATATGGGTAGGTTATAATCCTCTCACCTGACATCGGCTGAAACAGAGGAAGGCACCACTTTGCTCAGTTAAGGTCCATTTCAGTTCAAGAGGAATTGCTATCAGCTCTTTAAATACATGCTAGCAACATTCAATGATTCCCTTTTATGTACTGTGCTCTGTATTTCGAAAGAACACAAGGCCTTAGTATGAATCTAAGTGATTGTTTTTGCTCATTTTAATACTTAAAGATCAGCCTTTTGCTTGTTTGTTGGGGCAGATGTTTTCCTCGAGAATGTTATTGTGATCTTCAAGGTTTTTAAGACAGCTGGAGTATCCAATGACTTTAGCAACCTCCAATGTGAAAACAATGCTGAAGAAAGTGTGGTGGTGAAAAGAGAATATGCATTTATTTAAGCTTCCACGGTGCCGTTTCCCTGTGGGTTGGAAACAAGGACATTCTGTGTTGATCTGACTTTGACAGATGCCACCCTATTACCTAGTGAAGTTGTTGTTACCCCCCACTTGGCCCATTTGTATTTCCAATCAGTGCTGTCAGCTTCTGTGCATTGGAAAGTAGGAAAGAGACTGAGTGAGACTCCTCTTTGATATCAGAAATGTTTTTTTAATGTAGTCCGAGTTAACGGAGCGCTCACACGGTCTTAACAAGAAGATTATTGATGTTGGTACGCAAGGTTGCCATTGACTCAGATGATGACAGGAAATGATTTGCTGCAGTCTCTTAAGAATGGATAACCAAGCTGGAATGTTTGAGATAATTAGGATGGGTGTTCTCTCTCTTGTGTTTAAATTGATTATTTAATGTTTTTGTCTTGTCATTGTAGCCAAACAGATGTGCTGTTTTCAGAGTGAAACTTTTTCCAGGCCTGCCTGCTACTTCTCTCTTCAACCCCTTTACTTTCCTCCATTATGTGAGCCCTATGAAACCTGGATCAGGGTAACAATATTGCAGTGAACACTTTTCAGTGATTGTATTACAAAGCCACAGAGGCATATGTGAAGTAGTGATACATTTTTACAGATTTCTCTAAAAATGTGAACTCAAATTATAATTGTTAAAATTAACTAAATTATTTTATATAAATTTGAAATTTTAAAGCTTTATACTATATAAAAGTTTGATTCCTTTTACTGTGATGGTGAATAGAAATTAAGATCACACCAACTACCAAGTGAAAAATGCTACATGGTAAAATACTCAATAATTCAGTGGCCTGCTGTCAGATATCACAGAGACCGTTGTCTTCAGATGGAGACTGAGTTTTGAAGAAACACTTTTCCTTGGAAATAATATTTTTCTAGTATCCAGATTCTACAAGACACAAGAGAAAATGACTGAATGATCTTTTATAACATCTTACATACTACTGGTAGTATTTCACAACCAACAGACATTAAGTGGTGAACAGTTTATAAGAATAAATACTAATTAAGACCATTAGAAAGGAATTAACAAGCTAATTAATACTGGAAAAAGCTGTAATTTCCAATAAGTGTATAGGCTCATGGAGTGTGGATGTTCACACTCTCTCAGACATGACCCTGCACAGTTGGGTACTCCCCAGGTCATCATTGTAAATACAAATTTATCACTCAACTTGCATTATCAGAAGCATTTGTTTAACAGAAGCATAAACAAAACGTTCTGCTAACAACATAATTTCCTTTACCAGCAGGTCTTCAAAAGACAATAGTTCTTGCTTGTACTGGCTTAATTGTAGAACATTCACTACTGTTTTCGGATGGGGCCGATGGGTTAAGGTATCCATCATCTCAAAAGCCTGTTTTGAATTATTGTGTTTTCTAGGAGGCTTGCAACAGAAGAAACATTCAAAATGACTTCTTGTGGCCAAATCTTTTTTTTTAACCAGTGTTTTTATTCAGTAAATCTCTGTAATGCTATAGGAAGTTCACTCTGCAGGTCTTTACAGTGGAATTCCATATTGTTGAGATCTCCACTCAGAATACTGTTTTCTAAATGGTCATCAATAAATTGGAGATATTAAGGAAGGCACAAGGGGCACAGAAGTAGAGAAATGGATTTTGATAACGTTTTGGAAATGTGTTCCTGACATTGGGCACCAACTCCCCTGATAGCCCATTTGAGATCAGCACAGCCTAAATGGATAGAAAAACAAACACATATCCAATGTTTGCACCCTGCACTTAATCTTCATTCTCGGCTGGCGTGCGTTAAAAATAGCAGCTTGAGGTTTCAGCAGGCTTGGGGAAATAATCGGAACTCCTGGAAGCGGATGGGTGCTATCAGACAGCTCCCGTAATGAAATGTGCAGGCCCCGTAATGAATTCTCTCTTATTGTACAACGCTGGGGTCTCCTGAGGAATGAAATGGCATTCACACTTATAGACAGCCCTAGAGAATTACAAGGCCATAGAATGGACTCTTTTGGGCTTCATCACCATCTTTGGGATCATACTGTTCAGGAAACATGAGCTGGTCAATCATACCACCAATACCAATACCAGGTGCCATTCTTACATTGAAAAATCAGTGTCCATTCTGAGCAATTTTAAGATGGCAGCTTAGAAAAAAGCATACAGTTGTAACTGCAGGAACATGTTATAAGTAGGGCCTGTGAAAAATGTTTATATTTTGTATGTATTTCATGCGTAATAGTGTCATTTTCACACTAAAATGCACGTCAATTTATTTATGGGGATTTACTGGCTTTAATTTAAAACAAAAGTAGTTAATTAAGATTTGTACCTCAGATGAAGAATGGTGCTAATTTTCTTATTGCGTAGTATTGCAACGAGACTGGGTTTAGTGAATGTGACTTAGAACAAAATACGTACAGTGGATAAGACGGCTTCCTGTCCAAGTGTCTATAAAGTTATTGAGGATAAAACTTTATGAACTGAACTTCTGAACCCATGTTTCTTCAGAACATAAATGTATGCTGGGTGATATTAAAAATATATGTTGTGGTTCCAGAACTCCTTTGTATCTTTTGCAATGTCTGTCAGTATATAGAGGAAAATCACTGTTTAGATTGTTTAATTGCACTTGAGCATCTTCAGCTGGTTCACCTTATTCTCTCTTGGGAATTGTCATTTGTACAGAAAAGGGTAGTATGTGCTTACAACCACAGAACCGGTAGTCAGTAGATATCAGTATGAGAGAAATTATTGAAAAAACAGTTTTAGGTCTAATTTAGTCATTTCTATGCAGTGCGTTGAAATTGTAATGTCTCCAGGTTATTCGTTTTGGGACTTGTCTTAACTTTCCTAGAGATTTACATAGAGAGAAAAAGAGATTTACTCTTTTTGTGATCTTTACATTCCACACAATTCTTTTCCATCACAAAATATTTATCATGTTTCAGAGGTTCCACTTGACTGTATCCATAGATCCTTTTTTAGCTGGAATTGGTAATAAAAAAAATTGAGCAAATGCTCACTGGCAAATGGAAAAATCCTTATCTAAAGTGTGGTGGAGAGAAGAGTGGTCTGCTTGTGCAATCCAATAGAAAATTTATAACAACAATAGATGAGGAAACAACACAATAAAGTCAGGTAGGGGAGTGAGCCCTGCAGTTAAGCACTATGTATTATGGAAGTTGGAAATTGTTCCTGTCAAATAAATTTCAGAAAAAATGATAGTGGATTCTCTGTACTAAATGGTTCCAGTCCAAGGGGACTGTTTGTAATTCCCAAGTCTTTTTGTATGCTGCAGTACAATCCTTTTACGATTGTGTTGCAAAGTACACAGGTAGTCATGTATTTTTGTGCTAACACTGGATTCTCCTTGTTCTTCTAGATCCTGGTGAACTCCGTGAACCCTGCCCAGCCAGCTCTGCTCTATGAGAATGTGGTGGTAAGCGATGGTGGCCCCATTCTGAGAGACCTGCTGTTCAGTCCAGACTACCAGCACATCTACACCATGACAGAGAAGCAGGTAGGACAGTTACAGACATCAGTCTAAATGTCCTCATTCTTTTCTCATTGTAATGGTCTCTGAAAGATTTAAGTACTTCTAACACAGTGACAAAACCTGGAAACTGTATTCTGAGGGAGCATTAATGGCGCATTGTAATTTTCAAATGCTCCCTTCATTAAAATTCTGCACTGTTCATTGTGTATCCAAACGAATCAAATGTACATAAACACCTAAATCTTTTTTTAATAACAGTAATCATGCCAGTTCCTTCACTTTGTATGGTGCTTTTCATCTCAAGGGGAATCTACTTCATCTACCACTGAAGTACAGCACCACCTCTTCTTAAAAAATATCTAAACAAATCAATGTGAACCTCTTTTTTTTTCCAGAGGCATTTACAATATATGGAGTCTAATTTCTTCAGCAGTGTTGGCTGTGCTGGTTTTGTAATAGTATTTATCGTATTCATTTGTTTTGTGTGCTTTCTAAATCCCAGGGGCCAGAAATGGTAACGCTGATTACTGTGAATCTACATTATTTCAATTATTTCTGCCACTTGTGTGAAGTCACGTTCTCAGCCATGGTTTTTTGCTTCTGCAAAAAGTAGATTTCTTTCATTGCATATTTTTCTGTGTGGAGTTCTCCTGGTGTTTGCATGATTTCTCCTGCTGCTCCAATTTTCTTTCAACATCCATCATGCAGCCCATGTTATTTGGCATTTGTGATTTGCCCCCTATATGGTTGTTTGAGTGAGTGCATATGTATGTTTCCTGCAATGGACGGGCATCCTTAAGGAACTCATAAGATGCACATTAATGGGGCACTTATCTAATCAGGTATTTCATGTTGTAGTCCACTGGGCTTAACTCTTAAAGAGGTGCAGAAGAAGTCACATTGTGTTCCCTGTAATTCATATTTGATTAATGATTGACATTATTAATTGATGTATTTTTCTGTGATTGTAATATTCTTGAAAATGCATTGAAATGGTAACTGGTTTGTGAATTGTGTTAGTATTTGCAGCATGTTTTTCATTTTATCATGCCTTTTTGAGCCAGTAGACTTTAATTGACTCATGTTGGTTACTGTAACTGCAGTGCACGATGAGAAAATGAGAAACCAGGCAATTACATTTTGGTAAGATACCGAGACTTGGGTAGTTATGAAATTAAATTGCATCTTAACATCCATGTTTGTATTTTTCTTTTTAGACTAGTTTCCTTTTTCTAAAAAAAGGAAAAGCTTTTATTAATGAAATGAAAGACATTTCTTAAAAGATGCTGACATAAACACCCTTTTATTGTCTCATAGATTTAAGCCTGGATTTTAATGTTGGAGCTGGAAAAATTGTAGTCCCATAATATGTTATAAGGCTTTTTGATCAGGCTTTTTTATATTATGTTCCCGAGCTCAGTATCTACAGTGCACTTTCTAGATTGACAGTCTCTATCTAACTCATGTATCTGCACATGTTAATATACCACTGAGCTTATGGAGCAGGTTACAGGAGGTGAACAAAAAGTCAGAATACACCATTGTTGTACAGGGAATAAAGCTTTGGTTGAGTGAGTCACTAATGACTGTGGTGGGATAACATCTTGATGATTAATTTTGGTATGGGGAAAAATGAGCATTTTAAATGTATTTTTATTAGAAGCCCCCATCAAGGTAGTTGGTATTATGACAACCTTTCGACCAGACTTTTGTTCTATTCTGGTTTCATAAACCGTCATATTCAAGTTAGCTCATCATATGTGTGTGTGGTCTGCAAAACTGAGAGAGATATTTACTCATAAAATGTTATATCTGAACATATTACCTAGCTGTTGTAACACTTCTACTGTACACCTGTCTATGGTCAGTAATTACAACTATTATCAAGTAGTATAATGACTGCCTATATCCTACTTATTAATATGTTACTGATATCATAACCAGAAATTACTATGTCCCTTGAACTCTATGCTTTAATGAGGCTTAGACTACTGGTCCAAGCAGCCATATAGTCTGCAGTAGTGTTAGGTTATTGCCAATTTGTAATAATATTAATACTTCATATTTTATTTATAAAACATTTCAAATATAATGTGCAGTTCTTAATCTCAAGTGTTACTTCTACTTTTATCACTGGTCCTCAGCAACAATGATACCATGGCAGATAGTGTATGGCTGATAAATTCAGGTCCTGTTTCTTAACTGTGTATGAATGTACATTTTCATGCTTTTAAATACTGAGAATTTAGATGAAATCTTTGGTAGTTTATGGGTCTCGGTCTTGTCTGACAGCTAAAGGTGGATGGGAAAAAATATGAGGGTAATGCACCAATTATTAAAAAGAATACCAAACGTCTCCTTAAAGGCTTCAGATGGGAGATGTCTACTGAAAGAGTTGAGCCTTATGAAAGAGGTTTTTCTTCTGCTGGTAAGGTTGGTTTATTTCCCATAAGTACGCTGCTCATACGTTCATAAGCTCTGCAGTGAGTAAGTGAGCAGACTTGTCAAAAAAGCACTCAGTTTGATTGGCCTGTTCTTATTACAGTGATCGAGCACCTATTGAGTTGATTTGACCCATGTGCCCTGCAGGCTATGCAACCACGTTGCTCTGGTTACTAGGCAGAATTTTAATTTAATATATTATGCTTCTTAAGGATAAGGGAGCAAAGGGTATTTTGTGGCTCCCTTTGGCGGAAAATATCAGTGAAAAGGAGAGCTTTCACACTTAGGCAAGCCTACTTATAATATTTATTTTCTCTCAACATTTTTTTAACGAAATATAGTAATCACTCTTTTCTCTGGTTAGATCTAACATCCCTGGAATAAAATAAAATAAGCAGGGTTGTTCTGTGGGTAGAAATTTCATTTCTAAGTTTAAGTTAAAACTGACTTAAGTATTTTCCCACTTGCCTCTCTGTAAACTGATTATGCAGATAAAAGCATTGAATGACAGTTTTTGTACTGCATATTACTTGGAGATGATAAGAGAAGACTGATGGTAACAAAGTACAGTACCAACACGTGAACTTGGTCTTCTAAGAGTATTTGTTTGGACAGTTGTAGTGAGTTTCCGAAGCAAAGTAACTAACAAACCTGTTCTTTTGGTGACTTGCTTTGATATAGAAGACTTTGATGTTTTAAAAATGATATGGCTAAAATGAATTATAAAAACAATATTTGGACTGCATTTTGCAGCGTATGAGAAATGGAACTGCTCATATTCTGTACATACTGCAGACAGGAATATGTTAATAAATTCACCATTTGGGGTAACAAAAAAAGTGATCACTTAATATCCCTAGCTCTTCCTTTCAAATATTTTCATAGAAAAATCTGTCCAACTGTGGCGACCTTTGGCCAGACATTGCTGTCTGTAGAAAAAATAATTGGTTACCCAGAACTGTAAAGGTGAAATGAAAACTCTCGTTAATATTTAAAAACGGCCTTTTTTTGCTTATAAACAGCAGTAGCATATCTGTAAAAGCAGAAGATAGTACATTAATTGCCAGTACCATTAGCATTAATCTTTATTACATATGTTTTGCAGTTGGATTTTCAAGAAGTCTTTCTTGGATTAAAACCAATTTTTTAGAAGTTTTCATTTTTATTCATCAGTATACAAAGGATACCGGATCAGCTTATTGACTTCATTTGTTGCGGTCAGTACCCTTTGTGAGCTAATGTAATATAGTTTACATTTTTTCTTCTTCCTCTGCAACCTCAGCTTCATTTGAAATATTTTGTATAACACCCAGAACATGCAGCTGGATGGTTACCGATTTTGTTACTGTTGTTGTTGATGCACACAGTGGTCTTAGCCAAAGGGAGACAGTAGTAAGAACAAGGAAAACCGCTAAAATCCATTCAGGTGCCCTTTCTCTGGTAATAGTGCAAACGCCCCCGCAGCTTTATTCAGAGTGCTTGTTCAACAGTGCACTTCTAAAGAGAGAAACATACAGTAACCCCCACCACCAACACACACACACACACACACACACACGCACAACTTCCCTCACAACTGCTTTTCTGTCACGGACATTGTCATGTAAATGGTTTGGGTATTGTTGCTACTGAGGCGAGAAACATGTAATAGTCCAGAGGTGTCTATAGAGACCTGTGGGAGAGGAGTCGAGTGTTATTAACATGTTTCATTTGGCCTTTCTGCAACCTGTTCAATTACATCAGAGCTGCCCAGCTCCAAACCAAAAACACTGGCAAGTGGTCTGCTGGGAGTTTCACAGTTCTCTGAGATTGTTACAACCCGCTACCACTACACAGTACCAACAGCATGCTATTATTTTGTATGCAGTTGGTCAGAGCTCCTTTGGGGAAGTTGGTTTTTATTATATCACATCCCATGGTCTGCTAGAACAGGGATTATTAACAGGTAGTTTTCTCGACTTGTATGATATGGATTTGTACTGTACACCGCTGCTAGCAGTTATTTTATTTCACTTCTCTGAATCCTTCGCCCAAAAGGCACTGAATGAGGCAGCAACAACAAACCCCAGAGTAAATGTACAAACAAATGTTAAACCAATCTCTGCCAGTGTACTGCATAATAATCACATTGTTCCCTTTGATGTGAAGATACAGCTTAATACTACAGTATGTTATACAGAACCATTCTCAATCCTTACAAAAATGCTCTTACTACCAATATTAATTTTAATACTCGAAGAAAGGATTTAAAAAAATAGACAGCATCCATTCAGTTTAAATACTTCTAGTACCAAGTACTCTAGCCAGTATAGTCTTGGGGTTCAAAGAGCTATTTATCACCTAGTTAAAATGTATGAGTTGGGTAAAAGGTTTGAAAATCAATTTGAAATGTATCTAGGAAAGATAATACACACTGGTTTATATAACAAGGACTAGCCTACATGATATTATGTTGATTGGTTTTAAATGATTTAATTTTGCAGTTAAGATGGTGATTAACTGGGAAGAATTTGTGCATTGAAGTTATTCAAATTATGTAATTGTGTTAGTAATTTTCATCTGAAAATTACTAATACAATTAG